CCCCTTCCCCAAAGCCTCTTCCCCAAAGCCCCTTCCCCAAAGCCCAGGTATTTTCTGCCCTTCCAGCGATTGTCATTTCTGTTCTGCTCGAAAGCCTTCAGCGAATGTTACCATGGCCACCAAGGCAGGACTGGAAATAAATGAAGAGGAGTGGTCTCGCTAGGAATCGACACGGTGCCAATAGGGGGGCTTAGAGCCAAAAGACCTATAATGATCCCACAGTGCTGAATCTGTCCGAAGGCAACATTGAAAAGCTTCCAGTAAAACAGAGGACATCCAAACACAGCTGATGAGGTCTTCCTGCAGAGCGAAAGGACTCCCTTTCGGAAGAAATGGGGGGGAAAAAGAGACGGAGAAAAAAAACCATTTATAACTATATTATCTTAACCCCAATAGCAAACATTCTCAAGTGCAAAAACAGGAAAGGAAAATAGATGAAATTAATTAACCAAATTGTCTTCCCAAGTCTTGCTGATTTACACATCCCATTCCTTATGTCGGATGCGGTTAATAAACATTGCAACCAAACCAGTGGTGAAATTCATTTTTTTTTTACTATCGGTTCTGTGGGCATGGCTTGGTGGGCATGTTGTGGCTTGGTAGGCCTGGCAGGGGAAGAATACTCCATTCCCACCCCATTCCAGGGGAAGGATACTGCAAAATCTCCATTCCCCTCCTCACTCTGGGGCCAGCCAGAGGTGGCGTTTGCCAGCTCTCCGAACTACTCAAAATTTCTGCTACAGGTTCTCCAGAACCTGTCAGAACCTGCTGGATTTCATCCCTGAACCAACTAACGTGCAATCACATGCATTATGATGGCTTCACATAGGTGACCTCCCAGGGGCTTGTTTGCACCTGATGCAATGCCCCCCCTCTTAACAAGACCAGAATCTTTGGGACAAGGGGGCACCAGGTATAACCGAAGTCCTGTTCTACTCGAAGTAATTTCTCATCTCCAGACTGAGCTGGTGTTACCTGCACCTCACAAGTTAGGAGATCCCTGCCATGAACTTACCTACTCAGGCCATTTACACTTTCAATTCTTTTTTTTCCTGTTCTTTTTTTTTTAAGGAAAATTTTGAAAAACAAACTTTTACAAATATTTACTTCCCCCCACCCCTCCCCAACCTTCGCCCGCCCCCCAACTTCCCAGAACCAATACAGGGTATAAATCTTTAACAAAAACAATCTAAAAAGAAAAAAAGA